ATATGCCATGTAATGTTTCATCATCGTTTGTCTGCAAAAATGAGACGTAAAAAAATCTTTGACCTGACCCCCCCTGCAAAAATTCCAGGATCCGCCTGATAATAATAGTGCGTTCACTGGTTTTGGGAGGCCCCCAAAAGTGGAAATTTTGATTTAAAGTGACCTTTTATGGTATATCTGTAGGGCGAGGCTCCATTTGGGGGCTTTTAAAGAAAGAAAAATAAAACAGAAAACGTTTCGCCTTTCTTTTCGCCTCTATTTATTATTACCTACAAAAATTCCTCGAGGGTGTGGCATCGTTGCGCCCCCCCCCTTTGATTCGCCCTCTACGATGATACGATCGTTTTAGAGAAAACAGTTTGATGGAAAGAAACCAGGGTAAGAATTAGAAAGAGGAGCGAGGGGGTGGCGACGGGACATGAAATGCACATGAATTCAATCAGTTCAATTAAATTTAATTTTACATTTGTTTGTTCAGTTAAAACACCGGTACAAGTTGAACTGAAAAAGAGCATGTACAGTGTGGATAAACTAAATTTTTAAAACGAAAGACACATAACTCTAGGAAAAAGTATGAAGGGAAATCACGAACTAAATAGTAGTCATTATAAAACAAGTCTTGTCAATAAAATACTTGGGCCAATGGTACGATAATGGTGATAAAGGTCATAATGGTGATGATTGAATGATGATCTGATACAATGACCGAAGCATACTACCCTTGCTGATTAGCTTTCCACGATTAAAACCCTCTTAGGCAAAAATGCATTCTTGACAGTCGTCCTATCAATCAAAATCAGTCAAATGACACCTGTGTGTCTGTGTACTATATACAAATCAAGTGGAAGGAACTTCTGACTGTCTGCGACTGTCGCAGCAAAAGGAAGGCTTGCTGCAACAATCAAAAAAGTACGAATCACTGAATATTGCGAACTCACCAGAAGTCCCAATATCTTCGTCGAAGACTGTCCTGTCTCCTACTGTTTTCAACCTGCCGTCTCCTCGTCTTTCTCCACAGAGAGGACCATCGGACAGAAACAGGGCAGGAAAGAGAACTGCGCAGACGAAAATCTGCAGCATCATCGTACCCAGCAAGAAAGGATACAGAGACGCCTTCTTGAAAGACGTGATGAAGGCACGGGCTAGTCTGGAATACATGATGGTTACGTTTTCATCGGTGTAGAAGAGCGCCTTTATTCCTGCCCGGAGACCGTCGTCTACTGCCTCACGTTCCTATCGGCTCTCGACATGACGATGAGGGGAGGTTGATTCAAGAAAATTGGAAGATCTCAACAGAATCTCTCGATTTACACATTATCATGAGACCTGCACAAACAATATGGCGGATGTAGAGACTCGATGGTCATGATCTGAAAAGCAGGATTCGTTCTGTTTGAAAGGATTCATTGTGCAACCAGACAAAGCGTAGTTCGTAACAAAGGCAGGGGAAGGGAGTACCTCCCAAGAAGCCTCAGACTGCCAGAGGAAGGGAGTAGCTCCCAAGAAGCATACCTCAGACTGCCAGCGACGGGAACTCATACTGCTAGTCAAACTGTTTTTGTTTTGTATTTTTGTATTATCCATTGTGCCCGTGTGTTACTTTCTTGATTGGTGAATTTTTTTACCAGTAAGGTAAATGAAACAATTTAAAAACGATTGGTAGGCCCTAAATGAAAGAGTGAAGACAAAACCTATCTTAACCTCAAACTTATTTAGTTTGTGTCAAAACATAATTATGAGTAATAGAAAGACAGACCTTGGGAGTTAATATCCCTTGTGGAATTCATTGAATGCGTCCTCTTTATATATGATTAGTTCCATTCTTAACTCAACTTCAACTGCATAAAAGTGAACATTATCAAAACCACACCTGCTCACGGAAGAGATAGATAACATAGTGTCTCCGCGAACCACGTCACTATTTGCTATCTGCACGCACCATGCAAGTTTACGTTCAAATCCTACCTAATACAAAACTTATTCATACTTTCAAAATGTACTTTTTAGCAACTCTTTGGGGATTAAAACGTTCACATTATAATGATCACTGCTTTATATGCTTGAAGTTAGTAACCCCAACAACCCCCCCCCCAAAAAAAATATGCCCCGTGTGAGGTTCGAACTCACGGCCTTCAGATTATGAGACTGACGCGCTGCCAACTGCGCCAACGAGGCAGTTATATTCATGCGTCATTGCTCTATCTGTTTAGTTTACATTGTGGCTATATGCGGTCAATTTCGGGCACTGGAAAAGTTCAAAGTCGGATGACTGAAAGCTCTCTCTTCCTGCTTGGTTTATATACACCTTTATCAAGATAATTGGGAATTTGTGGGGGGGGGGTGTCCCCAGGCCTCCCGTGGCTACGCAATTCCAGTTCAAAACTTCAGTTGCAAGTTTAAATGCTGGGGTCAAAGTTGTATAATACTTTTTTCATGTAATTAGCAATGAAAAGGACAAGTTATCGTGTTGTATGGGATAAAAACAAGTTGAGGAAACACAAGGTCAAGACAACCAAAATGCAACAACAGAGAGATAAACACATGTATTCCGAATTCTACCCATTGACGGATTCATAGAGACTAATGGGCAAATCTGTCTCATCCCCAAGAAAAGGCACCTTTTCCACATCATAATCTAAGCAAGGCGAGTTTGAACTGTTCCATTTCCTTTGCTTTTGAGTCAAGGCTTGTAAATATCCTTCACAATTTATCTCACAAAATGCTCTTCACGGCGGTGACAAAATACCCTCAATCCCTCCACCCTCGAAAATGCTGCCAAACACATTTTTTCAAATTATTATTATTTTTTATTATTATTATTAATTCATGCCAGTTCTTTTTTTCATCACATACAAGATGGACATAGGAGAGGCATAAGCGATAACAATCACTGCGGCCAAAGACCTGCCACTCCTCATCAAGCTGTGTATAGAGTAAATAAATAAACATACTATACATGTATATAAAAGCATAAAAGCATAAAAGAAAAGAAATTACTGATAATGAATAAAGATAATGTAAGCAATTGAATATGACATTAAATGAGTTACATGAATAAGCAATTAATGATCAAGGCACAATAAATAAGACATAATGAATAAAAAAAACTACACGTGTAAGAACAGCAGGTAAGTGAACCAAAAATGAATGAAAGTCTAATGGATAACTGGTAAACAGGTGGCTGAAACAGTGACTTAAAAGGAGAAGAAGACCTGCTGCTCCTCATCAAGGTTAGAGTAAAGTAAATACAGAAATAAGTAAATATAAATAAGAATATATAAAAATATTCGAACATATGAACATGTCGATATAAAAGAAATAAGAAAAGATGATTCACTGTAAGTGAATAGAAGAGGAAAGAGATAAAAATTACGTAAGAAGTGGAATAAATTAAGTAATAAGGAGTTGACAATAAAGACACAATAGGTACAAAAGTACACATATAAGAGAAGAGGTGTATAATTATCTGATAAACTGTGAATTATAATTGGCAGAGAGGAGGATCAGTTATTGCAATGGGGTTGGGGTTTATGAAAAGAGAACACTGCTTCGGAGAGTCGGAAAAAACGTTGAAAAAGGCTGTTAAACCGTAGCATTGCGAACGTGTTCAGGGAGAGTTGACCAAAGACGAGGGAAAGCATGGAAACAAGATAAATGCAGGGATTGGGTCCTAGCTTGTCGGTGTTGAAGCAAAACATCATGAACATAGCGGGAATTATTAGAAACATTGTAAACACATTGATTACGTACATTAAAGCAATATGGAGACAAACGAGAGAACAGCATAATTACGACGACAAGATAAGTCAGACCAACCCCTAGTTTCTAACCTATCAGGGTAACTCATCACACCATGGTTCTGGCCAAGGATAAAAACGGGTCGCACGTTTTTGAACTTTCTCCAAATTATCACTGCTTCCTTGTCTGAGGGAGCCAGCAGGTAGTACACCATACTCCAATATGGGAAGGACGAGAGCTTTGTACAGTGAAAGTTTTGCTGAAGTACAAGAGTTGAAGGCAATGGTTTTGATGAGAGCAACAAATGTTATCTAAATGTGAATGGTATTTCTAATGAGATTTAGCACATTTGATCCATTACTAAGACATGATAACAGTTCATTACTGTTGTATTTGATTTCCTAAATGTTGAAACCTTGAAACCAATCTTTGCTTGTATACAGGTTGTGCACGTTGTAAACTAACTGGTTCCCACCATACTGGAAGTGCATGAATAACGAATAACGGCCCGACGTCCAATTTTTTCCTGTCGAGTACCAACTATCGGGTCGGATTTGGTATTAATTCGCATGCGCAGTAACAAATCGGCCCATGGCGGCCATCTTCGAAGTGTAACAACGCGAAGTTGATTGCTGTGGGAAAAATCGGGTTCAACTCCGGCTACAGGCATCAAACGACTGCACAAAATTACTGGTTAATTTGTCAAGGTACAAGGAGTATTTTGGTACGTATGAATGGTCACGGTATACAGTAGAAAGGGAAATATGATGCGACCTATTGTTCACCATGCACCATATTGTTATATGAATGACTAATGTGAGAACGTGCGCGTTTGTTCAAGTGCGTGTTTAGTGTAGTGTGTACCTGCACATAATAATACTAGCCCCACAAATAGGGCTGTGGTGGCTCTCTTTTACAATCTGTCACTTATCTGTCGCCACCACAGCCCTACCTTGAGGCATGTCTTAAATGCCTGAAATCCCAACTGCAGGATTGTCACAACCTTTGAATCCCTAATCTTCCGAAATGAGAATGACTCGACAATTTAACTTCATAACTTACTCATTTCGGAAGATATTAGGATTCAAAGTTTGTGTCAATCCTGCAGTTTGGATTTCAGGCATGTAAGACATGCCTTGAAGTAGGGCTGTGGTGGCGACAGATAACAGACAGCCCTATTTGTTGGGGCTAATAATATACATGGCCGTGTCAGCCACTTCGCCCCATTTCCACTTCTGATTATCGTTCATTCTGCTCATTCATTCATTTAGTAACAGAGGCAATGGTCTGTGCAACACAAACATCGACGTTTGAGTAGGTCAGAGAATCCAACTTGCAAGGCCAAAACAATGCTCCCAAATTCCCGACCAGCCCCAATTTTTCGGCGAGACTCAAGGCCTAATATTTTTATTGGGAAGTTAGAATAAACAGATTTAATAAATATAAGAAAGACAAATGATTAAATCCTGTCGTCTTTTCTGTCTTCACAAATACCTCAGAATGATTTTTTTTCTCATAACGCTTGTATCTACATGGTTTGCATGTTTTCCCAGTTAAATGTGCAACATTTGAAAAGCAACTACTGTTAATTTCACGAGTTCTCTTCATGTTTTACTGTTGATGTGGTAAAAGCATGTGCGCAAAGCACTGGTTCTTTGTCAAACATACATGTATCTGATTCTACTGTCATTGCATGCAGTGATTGAACATGTTGACATGTTTTTTCATAACGCATCAAGACACACATCACAAATAGAGTGACAATGTAATAGGCTTAAAATTCAGAGACTGGATCGCCGTCAATGAACAGTGTGCTGGCAGCTGGATTGATTTTGAAGCACCAGTACCTGAGTTTCTGAGCACCGTTTCCTGCATGCTTCATGCTTTTGTATTCCAGAAAAACATCGGAAAACTAACCCTACAAAGTACACAAATTTATTTCAAAGAAAATAATGCAGGCCTTAACCCTAACAGCCCTCGGTCCTTCAACCATTGGACGTTTTAGGATTGTTGGGGTTAATGCATTTAATCTGCCTTTAACATCTGCATTTGCTTTTACAGGATAGCAGTTGAAGTGTATGTCACAGTTAAGATGTCTGGGTTTGAGGAGATTGGCATTGCTGGGCCAGACCATCTTCGTGAGGCTTTGACTAATTGCACCGATCCCCAACAAGCCATTGAAGACTTCCAGGCTGAGAATGGGATTCTCTTGCCCACCCTCCAACCTGCTCTGCCCTTGCTGGACCTCCATGGCATCCGCCGCTTTGAATTCCACCGCTCCATCATGGAAGAACTCCGGCAACAGCTCATCGAGAAATGCAGGCAGCTCTCGGAAGTCGGAAACAAGAAGTCCTTCAAGACCATTGAGGAGCTGCTGTCCAAGTGCTTCCCTCTCATCAGAGTGAAATCGGTACAGCCAGTCGTCATGGAGATCATGAAGCTCCTTCCAAAGGTTCCCCCCAAGTACCTGATGGCTGTCGTAGACGATCGAGAACTGTACAAAGCGGCTTCGACTGAAGTAAAACGGCAGATATGGGAGCAGAACCCATCACTCTTCGGCAGCGAAGTGTCTCCACTACTGTCAGACTACATCAAAAGCAAAGAGGCTGTCCTGTTTGGTAATGAGACCATCAACTCGCACATGTTCTTCTCGGTGACGCCCAAGACACGACGCCAGGGCGAAGTGGTCCAGAAACTCGCTCACATGGTCGGCAAGAGCGTCAGGTTGTATGACATGGTGCTGCAGTTTCTGAGGACGTTATTTCTGAGGAGTAGGATAATGCACTACTGCACGCTGCGGGCCGAGCTCCTCATGGTTCTACATGACATGGAAGTGCACGAGATTTGCACAGAGGACCCGTGCCATAAATTCACCTGGTGTTTGGACGCCTGTGTGCGTGAGAAGTTTGTGGATGAGAAACGTGCCCGGGAGCTCCAAGGCTTTCTTGATGGTGTCAGGAGAGGGCAGGAACAAGTCTTAGGGTGAATATTATTGGCCACACTGTCAACAAAATGCATGAGTTGAGGCCCAGAAATCAACTAATTTAATTCTCAAACAAGTTGATATAAGCAAATAGATATTAGAGTTTCATTTTTTTCTTTTTTCTTTGTGAAAAAGCACTTCTAAGGAAAACATGTTTTCTCTGATTTTTATCTGTTCAAATAATGTAGCTGTTGTTTGGCATGCACAAGGGTTAATCCACTACGAACACAGGGCAAGGGGTCCCCTCGTTTTCTCTGTTTTCTCCAAATGACGCACTGTACATTCAGAATTTGCATCTTGGCGTGAACAGAAAAAAAGCCCTTTTTAGCTTCTTATAGTTGAACTCTTAAGACAAAAAACACTGCATTCGATTTGCATACTTCCATATTTATTTGAACATATAAAATCAGAGAAAACATGCTTTCCTTAGAGGTGCTCTTTAAAAGGTCCAAACAACTGAATTAAGATTTAAAATGCAAGTTTTTAAAGAATTGACTCAAAATCAAAATAGTCACGTAATGAGCCCTAATGAAAACTATATTCCTGTGGACATTTAAAAAATGATGCAATGCTTTTCACCTGAATAAGTACTTGTGTTCTCATGTTCCAACCAACTTGAATAAAACCACTGATGAGAAATTTTTTCCCAACTGTTTTCAGTGACCTTTCGATGATCCTGTGTGACCCGTTTTCCATTCACACCTTAGCCAGCAGTGGCATCAAGGTCTTACAACAACTCTTGAACACAGAGAAGTTACCAAGGGTAAGACGTTAGGCCCCCACCTTTCAAATTGTACATTGTCTTACATATGCACTGCAAGTAAAGTGCAGCGTTGAGTCTGCAAACAATGTACCACAGTCTACCACTGAAACCACTTTTCAGCAATGTAATATTGTATTATTGTAGATGTGTTTATCTCAGAAAAATGTTGTACAAGTATTGTATGCTTTGTATCCAGATTTTAGATGTGTATCCAGATTTTAGAAGTACAAGTTCACATTTGCAATGGCCAAGCCAGGCTCGGGGGGTAAGGGTTAGTTCCCACAGGGAGGCAGTTGTCCCTTCCTTTGCATTGCCGCTGCACCTTTACATTAACCACTTGCCGCTGGGGACTCTGAAATCGGACAAAGGGAACTGGGCTTTGTAACAAGACTGTACTCAGAGCAAAAGACCAGGCTGCTGGGCATTGCCAACATTTTTTCACTCTCAATAGTGAAGATAATCCAGCCTTGTTTTGAAACAGTATACCATGGTTTGGGGCATTTAGTGCGAGCAGATTACCACCGGGGACAAAAGCGCTCCACCGTTGCAGCGATGAGCCACACAGCACCGCTGCACGCAAATCTGTTCCCTATTTAAAACAGGTCAGCAGTGCACTGTGCCAGGTTCGTGAACAAAAGAAAGTTACATAACACTGCACAATCTGGGCTCTTTTTACAAGGCTGCAGGCCTGGCTGAAATATTCGGGCGTCAATAGGGTTTGTCTGTCAGACTAGAGTGGCCACCAAACAGTAATTCACCTGGGTGTAAACGTCCATTAATTGAGATGATGAATTTTTGAAGAATTTTGAAAACTGAAAATCTTGGAAAAGTCCGGATTTTGTGCACTGCATTTTTCGAACCAACCGGCAGCAAGTGGTTAAAATTATGATCACCAAGCTTTTGGGAATAAGAAGTTTGAAGTTTAAAGATTAAAGATCAAGTCTTGTTACCCGACATAAAGTGTCTCAATAGAACAAGACTACATTCACTTTTGTGTTTTCTTTTCATGGACATTAATTTGATTGTTATTTGATAACTATCTTTTACAGGAAAGCGCTGTCTTGTTGCTGCTTCTGAGAATGTTAGCCCTGGGACTTGGTGCCTGGGATATGATTGATAAACAGCTGTTCCGTGAACCCAAAATGGTAAGCTTGTGTCATTTGAGACCCTTGTAAGTTTTTGGGCTCGTCCTAAACTGAAAGTCAGAGTTTAGTTCTTGGTTTGTGTCCTTTTGTGGAACATTTGTAGGAAAACGACCTGGTTGTGAGATTCCTTCCGAGTCTTGTGTCCCTCCTTGCCGATGACTATACCCGCCACATCAACAAGCGAATCCACGAGACCGAGGATGATCCCAAACTCCAAGACATTCCCAACCAGCTCCTCAGATCTGCCCGCAAGGACCGCATTGCAGCCACACTGCTCCTTTACTACGTCTTAAACATCACTCGGCAGAGGAACAAGGAAGCCCTGTCCCGCATCCTGCCCAAGATGACCAAGATGGAGGGCAACATGTCTTATGAGGACATCTTCCTGCATCCTTTCACATCGCAGCTGGCTCTGATGAGCGAGGACTTTGCCTCCGAGACATTTTGCAACCTCATCTTTGATGACTTCCTCCTTGCCTCCAGCATTCAGGAGAACATTTTGAGACATTCGCTGCGACTGATGGAGTATGTCTTCCACCGGATACCGTCACAGAGAACAATGGAGTTGATGGACAAGTTGGAACCGAAGACAGAGGTAGGTTGCAGCCGTGTATTAATGATGAGGGCTCTAATTCTGCTAAGGTCTTGTTTCTGTAGACCTTTTCATTAATAAATTCATAATTATGTACAAATGCGCACAAATGGCCTTGGTGTCAAGAAGTGTGAGCAGGCCATTGAAAATGTACAGGGGTGCAACTTCAGTGATCATTTTCTCTCAGGTTTTCTGGCTTTGCTCCTTTTTTCTTCGGAAAATCCCATTAAATCATGTTTGCTATTAGTTTCAAATTTAAGTGGAATTTTTAGTGCTCTGTAAAAGACTTTATAATCGTAATTTTTCCTGTGCGCAGGAGATCGCCGTTTCTTAGTAGTAGTAAGTAGTGTAAATTACATTGTTAGTGTTCTTGGAGCCAACCTGTGCATTTGTAAAAACACGTACCGATGTTCAATGTACATACATTTACCCAGCTTACTGTTGAACTAATAGTCATAGCTTGGAGTACTACCAAAAGAAATGGTATCCAGTTGTTGTTTGGGGTTGTACAAGACAAAGTGCAGATTCCAAAGAGAAAGAGATCTGGTTCTTCAGATTTCCCAAGTGCAGAAAGCAGCGAATCGAATAGGTAGAGTACTGGTACATTGGATAAAACCATGGAGGTACATTGAATAGCAGTACATGTTTTTACAAATGCACAGGTTGGCTCCAAGAACACTAACAATGTACTTTTACACTACTTATGATGGAAGGGGCCATACTAAGAAACGGCGATCTCGTGCGCATAGGAAAAAATACAATTATAAAGTCTTTTCACAGAGCACTAAAAATTCCACTTAAATTAGAAACTAATAGCAAACCCGATTTAATAGGATTTTCTGAAGAAAAAAATGAGCAAAGCCAGAAAACCTGAGAGAAAATGATCATCAAAGTCGCACCCCTGTACATTTTTAATGGCCTGCTAACATTTCTTGCCGCCAAGGCCATTTGTGCGCATGCCTGCATAATTATGAATTTATAAGTGAAGAGGCCTATTCGCAGGATTTTCTTTTAACATTTGACTCCCAGATTCACAGCGCAGAATATAAGTGGCTTGAAATCCTTTTTCCTTGCAGCATGGCCAAGAAGTACGTGACTTGTACGGAAATGTGTTGAAGAAGATTGAAGCACACACACCTAGCCCAGCCACAGCACCTGAACCCCTGGACTCACCCTTGATGAGTGTGCCAACACCAGCACCTCTCTGACCTAATAAACTCCGCCCCCTCAGCTAGGTAAACACCTTGACTATCCCCTACCAAGGGGTTCATAGTGCAGTCTCTAATTGAAGCTTTTTGGCTTTGTGGATAGCAAAACTGCTGATTTGTGTACCGTGGTATTTTTTTTTCAGTTTATATTTAAGGAAACTGCCCTACATTGGCCCAATGTTGTTTCACTTTGATCAGTTTGTAGGATCCCACATTTGACAGCCAAGTTACCAAATTCATGCATGTGTGGCGGACTTAGTCCATTTTTTATTTTGAAAAATCCATGAACTGTGTTGCTTTACTGGCAATAGAAATCAATGTGGTTCTGCCCTTCAGAGCTGTCTTCAAATTCATTTATCTGCAATGTCCTCACTAAAATGATCAATGTTATGTTAGTTATGGGAGTTGAGAGATGTCAGGTACTTTTCACATGTGGAGGTGGGTGTGTAAGGAAGAGGGACGTATTCATCATTACATTAAATGTGCATACATGTAGTGTCTGAAAACTGAATTTCTGGATATGGGAATGAATTCTTTGCGCAGCATGGCTGCGTCCGAGTTAAAATCTTGGTCCAAGCTGTACAGAAATTTGTTAATAAAATATGTATAAATGTACATGCAAAAGTAGCAATTCTCGGGCCAATAAGCCATTTGAGAGTTCAATTTGAATAAAATCTGGTACACTGAGTTATCTGATTGCACATAAACATAACAATTTGAGTTCCCCAGACTAAAGACACTGTTGTGATTTGGGGCAAGCTTTTGCATAGCAACCACCATCTCTGGAATGGACTGCTTCCTTTGTGCCTTTCTTATCCATTTAGAACAGTATATTATTGCAAGGCGTCTCTTATGTAACTAAGGAAAAGCTTGCCCCGAATCACAAGGTATAGCAACAGTGGCTTTAGTATGCAGAATTCGAATTATGTTCACATGAATTTAAAGAACTCAGTGTACCAGATTTTATTCAAATTTAACTCGCAAAAGGCTTATTTGTCCAGAACAGAATTTATGATTTGCATTTGTATGGTGCTTGACTGTTCAGTGGAAATTTAATGGAGCAAAGTAAACAATTAGATAAAGGCTTGGTTTGCGAATTGCCTGTTATTAGAGTTGCATCTAAGATGGCCGCTGTGTACACAGCAGCCACATAGAGGCTTTGCATGGTAGCCATCTTGCAGGGTAATTGTTTTGTTCCATAGGGAAACCTCTTTTGTGCATACCCTATGAATCAAGCTTCAGTCTGCAAGAGTGCAGCCTTGCAAACCCTATATTGAAGGCATTACCCTACATAACAAACGCACACATCTTTGTCAGGTAACATGCCTATTTGTGGTTCTGAAAAAAAACCAACACTTGGTCACATGACCTTTACATGGTATGCTCAGCTATTTTCTTAAGGCGTATTTCTCTAATGAAGACTCAAACCTGTGCAGTTGTACAGTTTACATAAATAATTTAAAGTCATTTTAGTTAGATCTACATATGTGTAGACTTATCTTTGCATTTTCCAAGAAAATACTTAAAAATGTCGGCCTCCTGCTGGAGCAGCTCAGCTGTCAAATTTACAAGCACAAACTCACATTCCAGTCTTGAATAAACCATGGCATACCTAAAGATTCTTGTGGAGTCAAACACGAGTTCTTTGTCGATTTGATTGGATTCTGTGTACTAAAAAGCGTAACACCCAACTTGACCTATACATAATTTTTATTTTCAACTGCAATGTATTGATGCTGTTTCTGAGATGTGAACAAAGTGTGAAATGAATGCTGGTTAAAACTTTTAACAAAATTGAAAGTGGCTTTTGACTTCAATTAAAACATCAGATTTGAAATGTAGAAAAACACAAATTTATGAGTTGTTCAAACTGCTACTAAATCAAAGAAGAAAACTGTTGGGAAAATTATCGAAAAGTAAGTTCCATTAAAATAACAAAAAAAAAATCTGTCACTTTGTAAAATGCAGGAATGAGATGGCAAAACAAATTGAAACTTATAACACAATTGCCGTAAAATATATCCGTTATGAAAATATTATAGTCCCATTGCAGGAACAGTGACAATGCAGAATATAGGAAGCAATCTATGTACATCTCAAATAGTTTTACAAAAGTACTGCAAAATACTTCGTGAATAATACTTGGACATGGCAGATAAAGTCCAGCTGAACCAAACCTTTTACAAGCTTTCAGCATCTCTGATTTTTTGTTACAAAATTTAATTCTAGAGCAACAACCTGCGGCTGGTCTTCACAACAATAAAAGTAAACTCTTGCCCTAGAGTAGATGAATGATTAAAAATCACAGAAAAAATGTAACGGACAAAAGAAAGTTCGCGCGTACGTTTACGACAACTATAAGACCGTCATTTGAAAATGATCAAGATTTTGTTTTCTTAACCACTTCATGCTGGGGCATTTTTCAATGTTGATGATGCTGGGCCGGCATAATTATCATTTTTTCCGTTTTCAAAATTCTTCAAAAATTCATCATTTCATTTAACGGACGCTTATAGCCAAACATAGTAATCTTTAGGCACTACTCTAAGTTGACAGGTGACCTTCACTGACGCCCGAGTATTTCAGCCAGGCTTGCAGCCTTGTAAAAAGAGCCCAGATTGTGCGATGTTATGTAACTTTCTTTTGTTCACGAACCTGGCTCAGTGCACTGCTGACCTCTTTTCAATAGGGGCCAGATTAACGTGCAGCAGTGCTGTGTGGCTCATTGCTGCGGTGATGGAGCGCTTTTGTCCCCGGTGGTAATCCGCTCGCTATAAATGCCCCGAACCCTGGTATACGGTTTCAAAACAAGGCTGGATTATCACCACTTTTGAGAGTGAAAAATGTTGCTAATGCCCAGCAGCCTGGTCTTTTGTTCGGAGTACAGTCTTTTGTTACAGGGCCCTGTTTCCTTTGTACGAGTTCGGAGACCCCGTTCACGCATATAAAGCATACGTCTCTGATTCCCGGAGTCCCCGGCAGGAAGTCGTTAAAAAGACAGCATTCCAGTTGCATTTAAGATCTTCACAGCTTGACTGGGGCTTTAACTTACTCAACACTTTCAAGTGGGGCATTTCAGAATCTTCCCCAGTCCAATTGTGCAGGTACTGCTGAGCTGAAATAAAGTGCCTTGTGCAGACACACAAGAACAAAGCATCCTCTTCACAAGGATACAAATTCTGGAACATGTGTTCCCAGCAGAACAACTTGTTCCAGCTGAAGTCAAATAGGGTTCAACATCATCGGAACGAGGTTGATAAGTACATAGCTTTTATATGAGCCTCTCTTGCGGAGGCAATTTGAGGATGTCATCCATTACTACCCTGCCCCTAGACATCTCGTGAAGTCTGGGGTTGTAAGTGCCTCTGGCAGACCTCCTCTTCTTGATTTTGATGAGGAAGATGCCCAAGATGATGATGATAATGACAACTGCCCCGCCCACTATTCCAACAATCAGAGCTGGCTTGATGGCCTGATCAGATCCTGGTATGTTGGTACTGGTGTTGTTGAGATGTGGGTTGATTGTGGTGTTTTCATGATCAATGTCAGAGCAGGTGTTTCCATGGTAATCTGGTTGAAGGTAAACGCAGGGGCAGAGGAAGTAGATAAGGAGAATGAATTTGTAGAGAAAAGAGAATTTGGAAACATGAAAAGACTAGGACATTGAGAAAGGACCTGTACTAAACTCAAAACCCAAACAATCTTGATTGAAACTTTGATTGATTGAAACCCAAACAAATTGATAATTAAGATGAGAATCAAAATGCCAAGTGAGTTTGCAGCAACCTTTTGAAATTGACCATCTTGGGTATTTTAAAGGCCTTGAACTTACCAGTGCCGGTGCAGTTACAAATAAAATCATTGACAGCATTGGTGCAATTGCCACCGTTTTCACACGGCTCCACAGCACACTCATCAATGTCAGTCTCACAGTCATCACCGCTGTAACCATCAGCACAGTGACACTTGTAGCCATAGTCTAGATCTTGGCACGTCGCTCCGTTTTGGCACAGGTTGCTGGCACAGTCTGGTAACTTGATTTCACAGAACGTGCCTGGAGTTGGATGTATTTCAAACGCTTGACACACTTGCGATAATCCTACAACCCTGACCAAATGATTAACCTAACAGATGACTTAGTGAAAAGTTAATTACAGAAGGATTCAAAATTAAACGAGGTAACCCAAAGTTTACCTTAAAGTTTTTTAAGGTTTTTTATAAGGCTTTTATAAGCAGAAAACATGAAATACACACAAAGACAGAAATACTGGTGTGTGTGCATACCTCAGCCAGAAGGAATTTATTCATCATGGTGTGTCAGGTACCGAAATCTGGGCAGCCAACTCATCCTACATGCGACCCATTATATCAATATCCATTTTTTAGGCACCAACAAAGGCCCAGAAACATAGCTCCAAAGGTTTATAGGTTTTTCTAAGGCTTTTGTTGGGGGTACTCCTAAGGTAAACATTGAGACACCCCTTGTGTCAGTTTGGAATAGCCCCCAACACCATCAAGTAACTTGTGATCTGTCTTAAATGAACAAATTAATTTATCACGCTCTGAATTCAAAGAAAATGCCACCTGTAAAGAAAACCCAAATACACCCATGGGAATTTGTCGTTTTATAAGCAATAATTTAAACATCCTGTTCTTTAAGTTCTTAGAAAAATACTAATTTGTTGCTAAGAACATACCTCAAGTCCACATAATGTTCTGCCTTCTGAGCTTGAACATAACAAGCCATAAACATGCCATATTGAATTTTACATTTTCTATACAAGACACTGAAAAGAAGTTGACAATTCTCTCCACATTTTACCTGTGTATCCCATTCCACAACTGCAAAGAAATGTGTCTGTTGTACTGGTGCAATTGCTGCTACACCAGTTGATTTTCAGCTCGCAGATGGTGCTGAAGCCAGCGGAGCAATCACATAGATAGCTGATGGTACCATTATAAACAGCATTGGTGCAGTTGAAGTAGCACTCACAGCTGTGGTCTTGATCCTGGCAAGTTGCATTGTTTTGGCACAGGTTGCTGGCACAGTCTGGTAACTTGATTTCACAGTGGCTATCTGTGGTCAGAACAAATTTGCGTAGGCTTATTGTCCAATTATCCCCGAACAAAACTGACCAGGGGCTGGAATAACTACATATTCTATGCAAATGGAAAGATGGTGCTAGCCTTTTGTGTGCATCTATTTTATGGAATACCCCATATTGGACTCATCATTACATCTTAGGCCCCCTAATACTTGACAGTCAATGGGCAGATTTCCTAGTAAGTTCTTCTATGGGAAACTAGTGCCACATCAAGCTGGCTTGATAAACTTGGTGTAAGTTGTAACTAATGTTCCTGTTCCTCCAAAACTAACGTTTCTCATAAAAAATTCCCAAATCAAGTCAAGTTGCAAATCAAATTTTTCCAAGTCAAGTTTTTCTCAAGTCCAAAAACTAGTAACTCGAGTCCCAGTCTGCGACTCGAGTCAACAACACTGATTCAAAGTGGTCTAAAACTTTCTAGAAACCCTCCTATTTAATATGAACTGTCAAATCTCATCACAAAGTTTAATCAACAGTTATCATACCCGGTGCACACTCACACTGGACACAACTCGCATTGTTTTGGGTTACTCTTTGTTCACTGAGAGGACCGTCAAATTCCTCTATACACTGGCAGTGGGTGGAGTTGCTTATGTCATCTTCTGACCAGTCCAAGCTGTAGGCTGGATCATTACAAAGTGGTCCTGCAAAATGAATGTGCAATATAAAAGTGGTTCTGTGATGATGTTTACAATCTAGAAATGTAAGAACTATGCTTAAACCACTCTTGTGACGTCACCCTATTCAGTAAAGTGTCGATTAATCTTAAGAATGTACAGTTAACTATACATTTTTAAAAGAATGTAAAGTTTTTAAGAATGTAGAGTGTGGACATTCTTCAAAAGCCACTTGATACACAAAGAAAAATCACTTGTGATATTAAATTACATGGTCAAACACGGTAAGAAATGCTCTGAACAATAAAGCAGATTGTTTTAGACGTTCAATACGGTTAACACTCAAATTTTTAGATTTGACGTAGTGACGTTTTCTGTTGAGATCAGCGACTTTCAACAAAAGTGAACCGCTCCTTACGTTGCACTATATATTGTTAAGGTGTCTCCTTCATTTTTACATACCTTTTGAATTTTAGTTTTATTTTACATGTTCCTTCCATTTTAGTTTTTTTTTTCATTTTAATATAGATATTTATTCTAATGGTAATGTATAATTTTTGTTATCTTTATCCTTTTTCTTTGTGTATTTATTTTAAAACTCACATGTAGCAACTTTACTTTCGATTAAAGCTCAGTTTTACCTCTTTCTCTGTTATTAAACAACTTTTAAAACCAACTTCAACAATCACAATTCATGTACGATTTTGCAAAACGGATTAATCGTTTAGAAACTTACGTATGATACTTCCCAGATGAATGAGATGATATTCCAAATGCAAGTAATTTTCAATCGACAGAATTTTCTTTGGTGACTGAGGAATTTCAAAGAGTAAGCTTGTACTTCTAAAGTTGTAAACGTAATCTTCATTTGAAGAGACATCTAACTGTAGTTTTCAAATTAGTCACTTGGGAAACTTATTTGTAGTTGGTGTAAAAGGTCCCCAGCTCCGTACAGTCATATTGATAGCCTTTGCTAACTTAAATTTAGCGTATTTCTGCAACTAACATATAGATTTATCCATATGGACCGTGCCATATACTGATGGTGTCGACTACATGTCTGTAACTTTATGTTAAGCATGTATGCGCCTGTGAATGAAATAGTAGTGCACCCAGCCCAGGAGTTCCTCAATCATGATGGCTTAATTGGGACAGGAATAAAGCTTTTATGTGCATTGTACATGCAAATATACAAGGCCACCCAACGCTGGACAAATGATGGATTCATCTCAAAGCACCAGTAAAGCCTTTTTGAACAACAGTGGAGGGAGGGGTCGCTGTTTAAGTCAGAGAAACGAATCAAGAGGTGGAGATTTGAATAAAAAAATCTCCACTTTTTTTGTCGTTTCTCCTTAACAGATGGTTCAAACTATCCTTTGCTAGACACTAGGTAGGCATGCAGCATGGTGTTCAATATTTATTGAACACCCTTTCACATAAATACAAACTTACACCATCGAGGAATAAATAGGGTTTTCCCCTACCCATTCAAGTGTGGGGTGGCCCACATCTTTGATTTTAGTGACAACCTCAGGCTTTTCTGCTGAATTTTATCACCTCACACTTAAAGCAGACAAAGATGGAAGGAAAAGCAATAAAGATATTTTGAAATAGATCAGTTTCCTTCAGAATGGTTAAGGGGGACACAGAATACAAGATCGATTTATTTTAGAGGGGAAATTTGGAAAAATGGAAAACATAGAATTTATTTACGCCTTGGAAAAAAACTCACTTTTGTTAGAGACACTAGAATATTGGCCAATTTGTTTGACCACCTCAAACATATGACCCCAGGGCAAAACCTTATGCAAACATGTCATAAAGTCTGGACACAGAGTCAGATCCCAATTACGCCTCCAGTCTTCTAACTTCAGGACAATTTAAAATTTCAAGGAATACTGACATTAACCTTCACCTACAAAAAACTGGCTAAGAAATGAGCCTGTGGAAGTACAACATTAACCTGGACCAGAAGTAATTTTAATAATTTATATTTGTTGTTTGTAAATGTTTACTTGTATGTTATGCTGTTTCCAACTGAGCCACAAGGCTGCAAGACAGTGATAAATGAACAAGATTTGAATTGAATTGAACTGACATGAAGCAATGATTCAAAACATGGTACCGGGTAGTAGTTATTGGTCTCTGAAATGTCAAGCCTGGTATTTTTAATAGTTATGTTTACTCTGACTTACGAGGAGGGGGTGGATTCTCTCCTTTCTGTGCTATTTAATTTATAATGCCTCACAGCTGTAACAGGTCACTCATGTGTTTGTGTAATCTTTAGAACATTTGTGTACGCAAAGCTTTCCCATGTGATACTGCACATTTCCCAGAATGCACTGAGACAGTTGACCTGAAAAGCAGAATGATTCAATTCTTCTGTTTCTTGTGTTGTTGTTTTGTTGGTCTAAGCTAGTGCTGTTAAATGCCAACGGAATTTTAAAGTCTGTCAATGCCACAAATGTTCAGACACATTAGGCCCGGCCTTTTCAATTTAACAATGGTTTCCTGGAACTTTTTATGACCAACACAGAATGAAACTGAAGTGTCTCAGCCGGCAAGTTATTTTAAGCTGGTACACCGGGCCTATCCAAATGACCCACACCCTTCCACACACTTTATTTACTGTAAGTTGAATGAAATTTTCATCAGGTTTCTAAATATTCTAAGTTCATTTGGAACCATGCCTGCTCTGATGTATATAAACATTCCAAATATATGTTGAAGTGTTAACATTCCATCAGTCTCACTGTGGTTTTAATGTTTTTTTTTATTGAGAATGAGTAAATTACTTTTGCTCATGCTTCCAATAAGCAGACATGCGGGCTGTGAAATTGTATATTTCCAATTAATGTCAGTATATGGTCTTTTTATTCCCTGCAAATGATGACATTTATTTCCTTTCTGGAGAGAATAAAACCTCCTTTCCCGAGATCATTAAAAATGATGGCAAATATGAAGTTTGTACTGCAACACAGCACACCCTGATACATTGGTTTATGCGCAAACTAGGAACACAGACCTGGAGGAGAAAAACGAGTCTATGCTAGGAATATGTGATAGCTTTTACCCCAATAATCCACCCTGCCACCAACTCGTGAAGAATACTGAGTTCCACGCCCACTTTTCTACTTATCAAACAAGGGGCCCTTGTGTTTGCTTTAGGCCTTTTAGTTTGCTCTGTATGTGGATTCAAAGCTTAGTCAATTTTTCTCTCTTCTCGGAGTCAGTGTTTTTTTATTTCAAACTTTTGAGGTCTCCCCTTTCTGGTTACTCAACTCAACTTAGAAAGCTCTGAATCGAGTCCAAGTCCCAATTTTTGTGTGGCTTGCTTTTGTACTGTAACCATACGTGCTTTCTGATTTCAAGCACAGTAAACTCACTCAACCAGTGAGTATATGGAGCCATTAACATGAGGTATATTAGCACGAACATGTACCCACAATGACGTTACAATTTTTTTGGCCCTCCCCAAAAAATGTATAGATAAAAAATTAAGATTCCTTTCAAAATGACTGTGCCCACTCACGCTAATTTTGTCTGTGTAACAGAAAAGACTTTTTTTTGGGCTTCACTGTCCTTCCTTTCAGACCAGGCTTGAATCTTTCACTTATAACTATCAGCCAAACATGAAAATAATTTTTTGAATGAATAATAATGATGACATTTTTGCAATTTAAATTCACTGCTTGGTAAGATTTTTTTGCTCAAAATGCTGGTAGCTGGAATTGGAAGTGTACATCATTTATCAAATTTCACACAAGCAGACAAATAAACACACAGCTAAATAAACGTTGGCTTTATGAGCTCATCATGAGGTGAAATCAACATCACAGGGACTACTAGGGGTGTGAGTAGCCACTTCAAATTAAAACTGAAAACAGCTAGCAAAATCTGAAATGTAAAAAGTTCCCATACTTTTGTACAGACCAGGTTAGCTCCACAAATAGGGCTGTAGTGGCTCTCTTTTACAATCTGTCTCTTATCTGGTGGCGAGAGATAAGAGACAGATTGTAAAAGGGAGCCACTAGAGCCCTATTTGTGGAGCTAAGACCAGGTGTACAAAAAAAGTTGAAATTTAGGGTTCACATTTAAAAAAAAAAGAAGCTGAAGTCAGCTAAAGAGCTGAATTCTCACCCCCCCTGGACTACATGTACTTATGACACCCTTGCTGCATTTCAAGCGGGCAGACACCCCAAGCTACATTACTCCAACTTGTTGCATTATTAAGCAGACATCGCTGCCACCTGACAAGACAATCACCCAAAGTTCGCTGTTTGTGGAAGCTGAGGCCAATATCGTCATCAACAGTCAAAATTATGCTTCCTAAATCCTAGCATGAACTGCAATCTTAAAAACACCCATTTGTTACTGCATGGAGAAAGGAACCTCCATGGTTATGTTGCATGGTTAAGTCCAACATCTGCTGACTTTGAAACTGCCCTGACTGTCCATGCAGCTCTGACAAAGCCAGAGGGGATAACAGACAGGGTGAAAGTGTCTCCATTGGAGCCTGTTTGGGTGAAGATTTGTTCTTCGTCACAAGTTCTGAAATTAAACGAAGTTCCTTGGGGTCTCTATAAATTTAGTACTATGCTGATATTAACATATGATGAGACATTAAAGTAAGCCCTGCTTGCAGGTGTGTTCTGAAGAAGTGTTGGGAAAGAGGACCCTGTCCGAACCATGGAGGAAGGAATCCTTCCTCGAGGTTGAACGTGAAACACAAAATTAATTTTAAAAAGTTGATCCAAACCTGCTAATACAATTGCCAAATGATACACAAACCCATCAAATATCATAATGAGAAATCATGTCCAAATTTAAATCGAACAGACTGAACAAAAGACTTTTGAGAGAAAATTGCAACCATTACAAAGTCTGACATTTTTGTAACTGTTAACGGAGTCACTGACGTCTCCTGTGTACGCAGTGTTTGCTTATTAATCCTACCTCTGATCATGCTGAACATTAACAGCCTGGTTTAGTTACCTTTAACGGGGCCTCCCCTGAGCAAGGAAAAATAATCGAGCCGGTCCCTGGCCAACTGCCATTCAACTGTGTACAAACATTGTCCAGATGCGAGTCTTCCTGTATTTTTTTACATCAACTGGTGCCTGCATGGCTTGCCCAGGCCCTGCCTGTGACCCAGAAAAGACCTTCTGAAGGGGAGTGTCGATGCTTATTTTTTGATGTTAATGGTCAAAGGGTGCAGACCACTAATTCACTAGGTGAGAATTTCTGACCAGCTCATTAGCATTAAAAGTGCCCCCACAGTATCTTTTGAAAAAGG